AGAGAAGGGAAACAAAAATGATTCAGGGTATGGAACAGCTTCCATATGAGGAGAGATTTTAAAAGACATTGTTCAGCTTGGAAAAAAAGTCAACTAAGGGGGGATATGATGGAGGTCTACAAAATCATGACTGGAGTGGAGGGAGTGAATAAGAAAGTGTTATTTACCCCTTCACGGAACCCAAGAACAGGGGTCACCATGAAATTAATAGGCAGCAGATTTAAAATAAATAAAAGGAAGATTTCTTCACACAACATACAGTCAACCGGTGCAACTTGTTGCCACGGTGTGTGTGAAGGCCAAAACTACAACTGGGTTAAAAAAATAATAGGTTCATAAATGGCTATTAGCTAAGATGATCAGGAATGCATCCGCATGCTCTAGGTGTCCCTAATCTCTGACGGTCAGAAACTGGGAGTGGTTTACAAAGGATGGATCAGTTGATAAATTGGCCTGTGTTGTTCACTCCCTCTGAAGCACCTGGCATTGACTGTTGTCTGAAGACAGGATACTGAGTTAGATGGACCATTGGTTTGACCCAGTATGGCCATTCTTACAACATTCTCACATTCTTTTCAGAGCAAATGTGTTTGGGAACATCTGATTGCAGCAGATATTTCTTAATGTCTTTCTTTTGTGATGGTAGACTGCATGCTGGATTTTGGAACAGTGATCAGCAAACTTGATAGAACTATGTATGTTACATATCAAAGTACTATTAAAATCACCCATACTGCCTCTCACCAATGCAGGATTTTTCTCCATAGAATCATAGGCCTGGAAGGGACATCAAGAGGTCTTCTAGTCCAGCCCACTGCATTCAAGGCAGGACTAAGTATTATCTAGACCATTTAATAGGACATATTTGCTCATGTTTTCCAACCCCACCCCCACCCCGGAGTCTACTTTTACAGATTCCAGGGTAAGAGTCTCCACAGCTTTCCTGAGGAGATTACTCCATAACCTAATACATCTCTCTATCAAGCCCTCATTCTGATATTCAGCCTAAATTTCTCCTCTCAAAAAACACATCTTGTTATATTTCTATGTATCATAGTAAATAATCCCTCTCTGGTGTTTACTCCCTTCAAATAATTGTAGTTTGTCATTATTCCCCTCTACCCACACCTAAATCACTACTTACACATGTATTGACTAACTCTTAATCTTATACTCTCACCTCCATACCCAGCAGAAACCAGGAAATTGCATAAGCATGTGATGGGTTTTTTTGTTTTTTAAAGGTATGGGTTCATAAAAAAAAAAAAAATCTATGGGATGAATGTTATATTTTATCCAATTACCATTTTCCTCTATATACTTAACTACTTTCTCTTTTAAAATTTGTTCCAAGACCTTGCATACAATTGAGGTCAAATCAACAGGCCTGTCATTTCCCAGATCAATTTTTTTTCCCCCTTTCTTAAAAATAGGAACTATATTAGCAATTCTGAAACCTCTCCAATCATAGTGTATGACCCCTGAGTTTACAGATTCATTAAAAATCCTTGGTATTGAGCTTGCAATTTCATGTGCCAGTACCTTTAATATTCTTGGACAGAAATTATCTGGGCCCCCTGATTTAGTCCCGTTAAACTATTTGACTTCCACGTCGGATGGGGTAATTTCTACCTCCTTCATTCTTGTTCCCATTAGCCACCCTGCCAAAACCCAAAGCTCTTCATTAGCCTCATTAATAATTGAGGCAAAGTATTTGTTTAGGTGTTGGACCATGCCTAGATTATCTTTAATCTCCACCCCCCATCCTCAGTGCTTAGTGGTCTCACTTCTTTCCTTGATTTTTTTTTTTTAATTATATGGCTAGAGAACCTTTTACTATTGGTTTTAATTTCCTTTTGCAAGGTCCAACTCTGCTTGGTTTTTGGCTGTTCTCCCTACAGTTTCTGACCTCCAAGAGGTAACTTTCCTTACTGATCCATCCCATCTTCCATTCCTTGTAGGTGTTCTGCTTTCTCTCAAACACCTGTTGAAGATGCTTGCTTATCCAGCTTGGTCTGCAACCCTTCCCTATGAATTTTTCCCCCTTGCTTGGTATGCAGACTTCAGATAGTTTTGGCAGCTTTGACTTAAAGTAATTCCAAACCTCTTCAACATTCAGATCCTTGAGTTCTTCAGTCCAGTCCACTTTCCTAACTGATTCCCTTAATTTTTTTAAAGTTTGCCTTTTTGAAATCAAGGAACAGTATACAGTGCGAGATTGGATCAGGGTGCTGTTCCAGCTTGGAGTCTGCTAAATTAAATCAACAGGAGAATTCCCAGGAGCCTGTTGGTGAATGCTTTGTTAAATAATGCAGGTTTCAATTCAGCAACTTTCATCTGGATTCAGTAGTCCATGGACTTAGTATAACTTTCTTACTTTTTAGAAATAAAGTGTATTCTTGGGGACCGAGCATAGGACTGGGAACCAAGGCCTTTTGATTTTTAATTCCTACTTCTGACATTGATTGTCTCTGTGGCCTGGGACTTTAGTTTCCTCTTATTTGCAATAATAATTAATAGTTTTTAACTATCTACCTCATAAAGAGTTTTGTGATGACTGTATCTAAATGGCTGTGTCTTTGTGTGGCCCTTTGGAAAAAAAGTGTTACAATACTTATTGTAGAGACTGCTGAAATGGAGTACAAATATTGAAAAAAACCAAAACAAGCTTTGATCATATTGCTGGAAGATTCTTCAAAAAACCCTTCATTCGTGTCAGTGATTTAGATGAGATTTGTCATATTGACAGGTTCTCATCTGCTATATGTGTGGTTATGCCATACCCTACTTCTCAGCTCCGCTGGTTGAAAGGGGAGAGGTGTGGGGGAGAGGGAGGAAAGAGAGTAAAAGCATCCCATCACTTCCTACCCATCCCCAGTTCAGACACTTCTAATCTTATGAAAATGTGTTTATTTTAGTAGTCGTCACTGTTTAAATTCATAGCCATTATTACTACTACACGTATAGAAGGATCAATACATTGGGCATATTACTGTATGAGTGTATTTTAGAAACTCCATTTGACAGCTTCTCAAACACTGCTCATCTCCTTAACAAGAGAAATAAGATCATGCAGACCAAATATCATCACATTAAATGACAACATATAGGATATAGCAATCTACAGAATTCTGTGAAAGAGTATTAGAAAAATGTCGTATAATATACACATCTCTTCTGGTCTGGAATCACATTCCAGTCTCCAGAGACTAGTAGAGGAACTAATTAAACCATTATCATCAGGCATTTTCTAAGCTTCTTGAAGAATTGGGCTGGTTTCAGATGACTAAAAGTGCATATTTGTTTCCAGTCTTTAAATATGGAAAGAGAGAGCTAACTTCAGTCCCTAATCAAGTAATGAGGCAACTTTTCTCCTGTAGCACCTAGAAGATAGAGACATTAAGAGCAATAAGTGACATGGGACCAACAATGAATAAAGCATGCTAGGAAGACATGATCAGGTTTCATTGATCCAATTTACTGAATCAGTAGTGAAAGTTAAGACAGTAGAGTGGATATCGTACTTGGCCTTCACTAAAGCATGAGACACTGCCTCACAAAATTCTATTAGAAAAATTAAATCAAATAGGCTTGAACAATGGTACTGTCAAATGGATTCAAAACCAATCTACAGATTGTAGGCAAAGCAGAGTCATAGATGGCAATGACTGCACTTAGTTGGGCTCAATTGTTTTAGCGAGGTCATGCAATGGTCATTGTTGGATCCTACTTTGTTAAATGTTATTAACAATCTTGGAAAAGGAAATATAAATGCACATTAACTACATTCATGCACAATACAAACTGAAGGGGAATTGCAGACACAGGAGAGTCAAGAGAGAAAATATAAATGGATTGAAAGAGATTAGAGAAATGGCAGGAATTAAAGTGAGATCCAACCTGGAAAAATGCAATCAAATACATCAAAGAGAAAATACAAAACACAGCTATGTTACAGGAGGGAGATGCTTGGAAAGCCGTATTGCTGAAAAAGGCCTGGATCTAGAAAATGTATGAGAAGTTTGCAGTTATGGAGAACTGACCTCACAACTTGTGGGTCCAAATCAATAGTGTTGGAAAGGAATATCTGTGAATTGTCCCCATGTTGATCAGTTAGAAAAATTGGGCCTAAAAATGTACCTTAATTGTGCACTCAACTGCAAGTAGTATGTAAAAGTTCATAAGATGTTACACATGGGTCCTTACAAAAAAAGTCATTGGGGGTGAAAATAGGGAAGAATAGATGGAGGCTACTGAATCAAGCTTCACCATCATGGCTGCCACCCCATCATCGCCTGGGACCCCCACAGACCTTCTTCATCCTAATCCTGAGAGATGTCCTGACCAAACAAGGTCTGAGAGAAGGAACGAGATGACATGGCCACTTCTGCCGACTGACTCCCAACTACCACGTGGGATGAAACAGTTCCAGCCCATCTCGGCTAACCTTTTCTTTTCCCCACAAGGAGAGTCATTACCATCTTTGATACCATCCAAGAGCCTGTCAAACAAGAGGCATCGGGTATTTCCTTCTAAAACCTCTCTTCTGTTAAAGGGAAGGGGAACAAGGGATGTTGTTAAAATGAAATCCGTATTGAGTACATTTCAAATGTTTTTACTGTTTTTTCTTCTTCTCTGTATCTTTAAAGAAAGTTTAACAGGATTTTTAATGGTGTGTTTGCCATGGTACTAAGCAAATTATATAACAAACCCCAAACTTGTTGAGTGCTGCACAGCGACTGTGTTATGTTGACACCTTTAGCCCATGTATTCCACCTGAATTAATAGAACAGATTCCACTCTGCAAGGGAGAGATCTGTGGCAGGAGGTGGGTTTTTCAGCTTTCATTCCTGCTGCCAGAGAGGATGAAATCTGGATTGACAATGAGCTTAACTCATCCAAGTCTTTCTGCTGGAGGAGAGGTCCTGAGTGGATGAGTTAGTATTGTCACTTGGGGTAGGTTTACACCACAATAAAAAACTTGCAACACCAAGCCCTGGTCTACACTAGGACTTTAGGTCGAATTTAGCAGCGTTAAATCAATGTAAACCTGCACCCGTCCACACAATGAAGCCCTTTATTTCGACTTAAAGGGCTCTTAAAATCGATTTCCTTACTCCACCCCTGACAAGTGGATTAGCGCTTAAATCGACGTTGCCGGCTCGAATTTGGGGTACTGTGGACACAATTCGATGGTATTGGCCTCCAGGAGCTATCCCAGAGTGCTCCATTATGACCGCTCTGGACAGCACTCTCAACTCAGATGCACTGGCCAGGTAGACAGGAAAAGAACCGCGAACTTTTGAATCTCATTTCTTGTTTGGCCAGCGTGGCAAGCTGCAGGTGACCATGCAGAGCTCATCAGCACAGGTGACCATGATGGAGTCCCAGAATCGCAAAAGAGCTCCAGCATGGACCGAACGGGAGGTACGGGTTCTGATCGCTGTTTGGGGAGAAGAATCCGTGCTATCAGAACTCCGTTCCAGTTTTCGAAATGCCAAAACCTTTGTGAAAAGCTCCCAGGGCATGAAGGACAGAGGCCATAACAGGGACCCGAAGCAGTGCCGCGTGAAACTGAAGGAGCTGAGGCAAGCCTACCAGAAAACCAGAGAGGCGAACAGCCGCTCTGGGTCAGAGCCCCAAACATGCCGCTTCTATGATGAGCTGCATGCTATTTTAGGGGGTTCAGCCACCACTACCCCAGCCGTGTTGTTTGACTCCTTCAATGGAGATGGAGGCAATACGGAAGCAGGTTTTGGGGACGAAGAAGATGATGAGGAGGAGGAGGTTGTAGATAGCTCACAGCAAGCAAGCGGAGAAACCGGTTTTCCCGACAGCCAGGAACTGTTTCTCACCCTAGACCTGGAGCCAGTACCCCCCGAACCCACCCAAGGCTGCCTCCTGGACCCAGCAGGCGGAGAAGGGACCTCTGGTGAGTGTACCTTTTAAAATACTATACATGGTTTAAAAGCAAGCATGTGAAAGGATTACTTTGCCCTGGCATTTGCGGTTCTCCTAGATGTAGTCCTAAAGCCTTTGCAAAAGGTTTCTGGGGAGAGCAGCCTTATTGCGTCCTTCATGGTAGGACACTTTACCACTCCAGGCCAGTAACACGTACTCGGGAATCATTGTAGAACAAAGCATTGCAGTGTATGTTTGCTGGCATTCAAACAACATCCGTTCTTTATCTCTCTGTGTTATCCTCAGGAGAGTGAGATATAATTCATGGTCATCTGGTTGAAATAGAGTGCTTTTCTTCAGGGGACACTCAGAGGAGCCCATTCCTGCTGGGCTGTTTGCCTGTGGCTAAACAGAAATGTTCCCCGCTGTTAGCCACAGGGAGGGGGGAAGGTTGAGGGGGTAGTCACGCAGTGGGAGGAGGCAAAATGCGACCTTGTAACGAAAGCACATGTGCTATGTATGTAATGTTAACAGCAAGGTTTACCCTGAAAGAGTGTAGCCACTGTTTTATAAAATGTGTCTTTTTAAATACCGCTGTCCCTTTTTTTTTCTCCACCAGCTGCATGTGTTTCAATTATCACAGGATCTTCTCCTTCCCAGAGGCTAGTGAAGCTTAGAAAGAAAAAAAAATGCACTCGCGATGAAATGTTCTCCGAGCTCATGCTGTCCTCCCACACTGACAGAGCACAGACAAATGCGTGGAGGCAAATAATGTCAGAGTGCAGGAAAGCACAAAATGACCGGGAGGAGAGGTGGCGGGCTGAAGAGAGGGCTGAAGCTCAAATGTGGCGGCAGCGTGATGAGAGGAGGCAGGATTCAATGCTGAGGCTGCTGCAGGACCAAACCAGTATGCTCCAGTGTATGGTTGAGCTGCAGCAAAGGCAGCTGGAGCACAGACTGCCACTGCAGCCCCTCTGTAACCAACCGCCCTCCTCCCCAAGTTCCATAGTCTCCACACCCAGACGCCCAAGAACGCGGTGGGGGGGCCTCCGGCCAACCAGCCACTCCACCACAGAGGATTGCCCAAAAAAAAGAAGGCTGTCATTCAATAAATTTTAAAGTTGTAAACTTTTAAAGTGCTGTGTGGCATTTTCCTTCCCTCCTCCACCACCCCTCCTGGGCTACCTTGGTAGTCATCCCCCTATTTGTGTGATGAATGAATAAAGAATGTATGAATGTGAAGCAACAATGACTTTATTGCCTCTGCAAGCGGTGATTGAAGGGGGGAGGGGCGGGTGGTTAGCTTACAGGGAAGTAGAGTGAACCAAGGGGCGGGGGGTTTCATCAAGGAGAAACAAACAGAACTTTCACACCATAGCCTGGCCAGTCATGAAACTGGTTTTCAAAGCTTCTCTGATGCGTACCGCGCCCTCCTGTGCTCTTCTAACCGCCCTGGTGTCTGGCTGCGTGTAACCAGCAGCCAGGCGATTTGCCTCAACCTCCCACCCCGCCATAAACGTCTCCCCCTTACTCTCACAGATATTGTGGAGCACACAGCAAGCAGTAATAACAGTGGGAATATTGGTTTCGCTGAGGTCTAAGCGAGTCAGTAAACTGCACCAGCGCGCCTTTAAACGTCCAAATGCACATTCTACCACCATTCTGCACTTGCTCAGCCTGTAGTTGAACAGCTCCTGACTACTGTCCAGGCTGCCTGTGTACGGCTTCATGAGCCATGGCATTAAGGGGTAGGCTGGGTCCTCAAGGATAACTATAGGCATTTCAACATCCCCAACAGTTATTTTCTGGTCTGGGAATAAAGTCCCTTCCTGCAGCTTTTGAAACAGACCAGAGTTCCTGAAGATGCGAGCATCATGCACCTTTCCCGGCCATCCCACGTTGATGTTGGTGAAACGTCCCTTGTGATCCACCAGAGCTTGCAGCACTATTGAAAAGTACCCCTTGCGGTTTATGTACTCGGCGGCTTGGTGCTCCGGTGCCAAGATAGGGATATGGGTTCCGTCTATAGCCCCACCACAGTTAGGGAATCCCATTGCAGCAAAGCCATCCACTATGACCTGCACATTTCCCAGGGTCACTACCCTTGATATCAGCAGATCTTTGATTGCGTGGGCTACTTGCATCACAGCAGCCCCCACAGTAGATTTGCCCACTCCAAATTGATTCCCAACTGACAGGTAGCTGTCTGGCGTTGCAAGCTTCCACAGGGCTATCGCCACTCGCTTCTCAACTGCGAGGGCTGCTCTCATCTTGGTATTCATGCGCCTCAGGGCAGGGGAAAGCAAGTCACAAAGTTCCATGAAAGTGCCCTTACGCATGCGAAAGTTTCGCAGCCACTGGGAATCGTCCCAGACCTGCAACACTATGCGGTCCCACCAGTCTGTGCTTGTTTCCCGAGCCCAGAATCGGCATTCCACAGCATGAACCTGCCCCATTAGCACCATGATGCATGCATTGGCAGGGCCCATGCTTTCAGAGAAATCTGTGTCCATGTCCTGATCACTCACGTGACCGCGCTGACGTCGCCTCCTCGCCCGGTATCGCTTTGCCAGGTTCTGGTGCTGCATATACTGCTGGATAATGCGTGTGGTGTTTAATGTGCTCCTAATTGCCAAAGTGAGCTGAGCGGCCTCCATGCTTGCCTTGGTATGGCGTCCGCACAGAAAAAAGGCGCAGAACGATTGTCTGCCGTTGCTCTGACAGAGGGAGGGGCGACTGACGACACGACTTACAGGGTTGGCTTCAGGGAGCTAAAATCAACAAAGGGGGTGGCTTTACATCTAGGAGTATTTCAGGCAGGACTTCATGGAGGGTTCCAATAAGAAATGGTGCACCTAAGTTATCGTTCTTATTGGAACAAGGAGGTTAGCCTGGCCTCTAATTGATACATGGCTAGATTTACCTCGCTGCACCTTCTCTGTGAGTGACTGCAGTGTGACCTAGAGGAATGAGTCCCCTAGACAGGGGAGGAGGCAAATGAGTACAAAACAAATCTGGTCTATTTCTTGTTTTGACCCACTCCATCTATCTTTTACATCTTTGGCTGGCAGCAGACGGTGCAGAAGGACTGCATGCCATCCACATCTCATGGCTGCTCGGCAGAAGATGGTACAGTACGACTGCTAGCCATCCTCATCTCTTGCCTGCCTGGCAGAAGATGGTACAGTACGACTGCTAGCAGTCCGTATCGCCTGCCCGCTCACCATAAGACGGTTCAATAGGACTGACTGCAGGACTAAAGAGAATGACCTGGTCAAGTCACTCCAAATTTAGTCCCTGCGCCCATGTCTGCCCAGGCGCTCCCAGCCGACGTGGCCAGGAGCACCTCGGACATGACGATGACGGCTACCAGTCGTACTGTACCGTCTGCTGCCAGAAGGCAATGGGTTGCTGCTACTGTGTAGCAATGCCGTACCGCATCTGCCAGCACCCAGGAGACATAGGGTGACAGTTACCTGAGCGGGCTCCATGCTTGCCGTGGTATGGCGTCTGCACAGGTAACTCAGGAAAAAAGGCACGAAACGATTGTCTGCCCTTGCTTTCACGGAGGGAGGGAGGGAACGGGGGGCCTGACGATATGTACCCAGAACCACCCGCAACAATGTTTTAGCCCCATCAGGCATTGGGATCTCAACCCAGAATTCCAATGGGCAGCGGAGACTGCGGGAACTGTGGGATAGCTACCCACAGTGCAACGCTCCGGAAGTCGACTCTAGCCTCGGTACTGTGGAAGCGCTCCACCGAGTTAATGCACTTAATGCACTTAGAGCATTTTCTGTGGGGACACACACACTCGAATATATAAAACCGATTTCTAAAAAACCGACTTCTATAAATTCGACCTTATTCCGTAGTGTAGACATACCCTGAGATACTTTAGGACACTCCCAGGAACAGCTGTTACCAGCTCAGGTATGGTATGTTACACATAGCATGACCTAGGGACAGTGGTGCAAGTAGATTTTAAACTTACTGGTTTACTAGACTCCCACTCCTCACAAAAAATGTTCTGTGACTAGAGCCCTGCACAGATAAAATTTATACCTGTGGATGCGGATGTCCGCAGATAGAAATCTGTATCCGCTGAACCGCAGGGCTCTCCTGGGAAGCGCAGCAGCAAAAGGAGCAGAATGTGGGGCTGCCGCTCCCAGGAGCCAGTGCCCAGTGCAGGCAGGTCCTGTGGCGTGATTGTACCTCCCCCAGCCCTTCTATGCAGCTGCATCTCCTGTCTGGAGTCTGTACAGCCCTGCCGGAGGACAGGGTATAAATTTGCATGTGTGCGGGGCTCTACACATTCATTCTTGGAAATGTGGCTTTCCGGTATGGAGTTCTGGCAATAAATGTCTTAATGGTATGGCGTACCTGACCATACTGGCTTACTTGCACCACTGCCTAGGGGCTGAACTTTATAATACCATTTTAGCATTCCATCACAGGGCCTGCCTACTACAGAAAGCAGTGAACGGCTGAGAGTCACTCTTCACCCCGAAAGTCAGAAGAGATAAGATGCGCTGTGATATAGTAGAGAATAGGGACTCAAAAGACGTCAGCTCTATTCCCGGCCCTACCACTGAAATGCTGTGCAACCTCCATTTCTCCTCCACCTTTTGTCTTGCCTATTGATATTGTAAGCTCTTTGGGCCAGGGACTTTTCTTATTATGTGCTTGCATAGCCTAGCACAGTGGGGCCCTCATCTCAGCTGAGGACTCTAGGCACTACTGTAATACAAATGGATGGGTGCTACACACAATATAAGGACTGTGTCAAAGTTGCTTTCTGCAGAGTCTAAGAGTAGAGCAGAGAGGATGTATTTACATTTTGTATGCTTTAATAACGATAGGTTTTATTTTCTAGGCAAGATTTCCAGTGATTAATTTAGTAATGTCATTAATAAATATGCATTTTTATTCTGTATGCTTTTCCTTCTGTGCACACCATTAATTATTTACAGACTTTATACAGAAACAAGAAGCTTATTTACCAAAAGATTGACACAAACATTCTATATACTCTCAGCATCTCTTTTTCCCCTCCTCCAAAACACACACTCCAGTCTTATCTCACACCAGAAGGAGAAGAGTAGAGTAACATTACCCATCTCTTTTCTGCATCTGAGAACAGTTTGACTCATTGAGGGGGACGTTATGTGCAGTTTAAGCTACATGCTCAGTTCTGGTCTGTGGGCACATAATGAGAAAATCATCACACAAGTACCAGCTGGTGACAAGCTACATATCAGCAAACAATAAGTCAGTTAAGCTGTGGAAATGAAGGAATGAACGAACAATGAAGAGAAAGGGATGAGGAAGTACACTAAGGCCCTCAATTCAGCAAGATACACAAGTATGTGCTTAGTTTTAAGCATGTAAATAGTCCCACTGAGAAGTCAATAGACTGAAATTCTCCTTTGGCAGGAGGAATGGACTGGATGCTGTAACAGGGTTTTTCCCTATCTCTAAATTCTTTACTTCTAACTCCTCATCGGTAATATAATATAGTCAGTGAGATGCTTAAGCATGTGCCTAATTTTAAGCATGTGAGTAGTGGTGTTGCCTAGCCCTCACTGAATCAGGGCCTTAGTCTCCCAAAGCAATATAGTGGTGGTGGTCTTGTATCATTCAAAAGTAATCTGAATAAAACACACACTAGAAGATGCACTAAAGGGAACAGTGGTGACTTGGCAAGAGGCAGACTACATGATCTAAAAGCTCTTTTCTACTTGCAGATGTTATTATATATTACTTTGAAGTAAAAACATTGCTTGCCTCTGCATCTCTATAGATAGAGTGCTGGGAAGAGCAGAGTGCACAACCCAGCAGTTAATTTTAATTATTGATTGAGATATTTACTTATGGCTTTTGTATGAAATTGCAAATAAACATATTGTAGATTATTTGAGCAGAAGGTAGATGGCTGGAGAATAATGGTCCCTGGTGGAAAGGCGGAAAACAGACCAGGATAAAGAAATGTGTTCATTCTTCAAGTAGGGAGGCACCCTATAGGTCTAGGTGACAGAGCCTGATTAGCCACTCTGTTACATCAGTTTTACACTTGTGTACTCCACTGATTGTAGCCGAGTTACACTGGGGTAACAGTGATGGAAAAGAGTGGAGAATCAGGCCCATAGCCTGCTTCGGATATGCCAAGCAAGCTTATGCACATTAGCTAACGGCCTAATCCTCCAGCCATTGAAATCAAAATCAAAGTTTCCATTCACTTC